AAAAGCATGGCAAGGTTTGACAATACATTCTCTACATGTACATATAACTGGGAGGACCTAGACCAAAGGTTACTGAAACACATGGGTGTCAATACCACCAACAAATGGCGTGATTGCCCCTTAAAAGAACGATTGCAGGATTGATCTCCACAGTTGCCACATGACTTATCAAAACACATAAGTTAACCTCCTAGTTCACTGTAACTCCACCAAGCTTCATTAGATCTGGGTCAGCAGTGTCTGATAAATCACATATAATGAACGAGTGAGCGAAAGAAATAAAGAATGGTCTATTTTCCACTTTGATTAAATCAGGGGGGTCTTTTCAGGAATTGCTGATCTGACACCAAATTCACACACAGTCATCACTAGGAGGCAGAAAAACAACAATGAAGGCAACCCATGTTAAATATCCTGAACTTATCCCAATCAAAGCCAAGTGTGCTGACCCAGGCAGAGCTGTGCACTTAACACTGAAAACTACAAATGACAAGTTAATAGATTTTAATTAGACTTTAAGTTTTTCTTTTATCATTCACTGTAGCCTTAGAGATGTTAAGAGTAATTTATTTAGTTTTATTTTATTTATCGAGACCCAAAAATTCTTTGTTTTGTTGTTTCTGGAGGAGCTCAGGTCTCTTTTGAGAGAGCTAACCCCAACTTACACACTAGAATAAATTAGTAAAATGGTAAAACTGGCTACATCGCCTGAAACTGAGAGTAAGAGGAAATGACTGACTAGAAGAGTGGTTCAAGGGCAGAGAGAGACAAAATAGTCAATGCTCTTGCTTGTTGGAATTCTGCCTATCAGCAGTGTTGTTCTTCACCTTGTTGATGGACTAAAAATAGTACAAGTCTTCCAATGATGCAGCCATGTCTAAAGCCTCTGTAAGGCTATACTTAAGCACAGCATGATAATGTCAGCATACTGTCGTGCTGACACTGACAATGCTAACATGCTGACGATTAGCAGGTACAATGCTTAAATGACCTTAGTTTAGAATGATTAGCATGCTATATTTGCTAACTGGTACTACACATGAAGCACAGCTAAGGCTGAGAATGTCATTAGTTTAGTAGATATTTGATTAGAAACCAAGCACTGGACAAATTAAAACTGTGACCTGTGTGATGGTACTCAAAATAAGTGGAGCACCAAAGCGATATAATTCATTTTGAGGGGAACATGAATGTGTACCAGATTTTACGATGATCCATCCAATATTTCTCGAGACATTTCACTGAAAACCATAAATGTCATCTTTACAGAGGCACTAGAAGAAAGGTCAAGGGATCATTAGGGGCCATTAGGATACATCATCTGGGAATCCTGCATGTCTATACAACATTTTGCTCCAATCCATTAAGGACATTGAGATATTTCCTGAGTAAAAATTTAAGGTTGCTGGTGGTGCCAATGGTGAGATCAGAGCATGAAGTCGGTCGGCTTCATCCTTTGGGAGCTATACATGTTTGTACAAAATTTCACGGCCACTCATCCCATAGTTGTTGAGATATTTCAGTCTGTACCAAAGTGGTGGAAGACTGTCCAATAGAGCAATGTCACTAGTATGGCTAGAAGCACTTCATTACTCCTCTCTTACAGTCGTCCCCTCTCTCTGTCCAGCCTTTCCTCGTTTATTTACATCTTTGTCTTTTCCTCCTCCTGCCTTTTTATTTGTACTTCTTTCACATTTTTTTGTTTCCTGCCTGTTTTTTAAATCCTGTCTTTTTACCCCAGCCTAATAAATCTGTCTGTTGTCCCACTCTTCCTCCAATCCTTCCTGTATTTTTCCCCTTTCCTTTCTTTTTCATCTTCAGCCTCTCTGTCCACATCCTCCCTTCCTTCCAATTCTTCCTCCCTCCTCCAATGAAATCCAAGACTCCCACTTTCTTACATTCCCCATCGCTCTGTCCCTTTCTTCCTCTTACCTCCACATTGCGTTTTCAGGTCACATCCAAGCACTGGCTTAAAACACTAAGTCACTCTATACCTCATCAAGTCAAAGAGAGGGCAGACAGAGATGGTGAAAGAGCAAAGGCTTAAGAGAGAGAAGGATAAGAGGAAAGCGGCTAAAGACGAGCAAAATAAGCAAGAGTGTAAAAATGAGGGAGGTTAAAAGAAGAACTAAAGAAGGCAAAAGGTCAGAGGAGAAGGAGAAAGGAAGTAGAAAAGCAGAGCAAGAAAAAACAAGATAAAAGAAGACAGAGGGAGAACAGGATTAGAAAAATGAAAGAATGTTATGCAAATGATAGGGCTATAGTGAAAGGCATGGAAGAGAAAGACAAGCTGGGTTAGCAGGGAGATATGGAGACACAAAGGTGCAGAGGTGCAAAGTAGACCAGAGATTTATGGCAGGTTGTTATGGAGCACCAACTGAATAACAGACGGCGAGAAGACCAGGTGAATTATTCATGAGTATACAGGGCTGTGTGTATGTGTGAGACATGTGGGTGACAGAAGCAGGTGAAACACACACACTTCATGTCTCTAAGTCCCCCTTACGCCAGTTCATCTATGAGGTAAAGAAAGGACAAGCCTCCCACAACCTGTGGATAAAATTATTACCAGAAAGAAATCTGTTCTGTCCTTAAAATAAATGAACGGGGTCTCATTCAACTGTGGAGACATTTTAATAACATTAGCTGTAATTTATGAATGAGAAGAGTTTGTCCCTCTAGCTCCTGCCAATGTCAGTGCTAAGAGATTGCTTTCTATATTTGCCAGTCAAAAGTACATTTATTAAGTTCTTTTACTTTGCCATGTGGTACAGTAGTTTCAGATGAATTCACATCAGTAGACAGGCTATGTAAAGATTAGTACCGACTACCAATGATCAGTTTCATTTCATCATGGAGCTGAAAACACTGAAGAGGGATAATGCTTGTTGGAAGAGGAAAGATATCTCAACCTTAAAGAAACAAAGACTGCTGTATTGCAAGTATATATTGAACAATGCAATCATGCATCTTTTTACTCATACTCTAAGAAAAAAAACATAACTTCTCTCCTAGGAAGATCATGGTAAATGCGTGCATGTGCTGCACACAGACCGGAAAAGTCACTCAGACAACGTTCATTTAATATGGCAGTAATTGTGCGATCCTGCCGAGACTTTGTCTGCTTTGGCCCAACCCAAAGTGGATAATATTACTTTGTTGCATTTAAGAATTTGTTGAGATTCATACCTTCCACTTACAGGTTAACCACAGAAAGTTAAATGAATGCACACACAGGTTCTGATGATTTGCCAGTCTGCCAAGGTGGATGTTTTGCCTTTACCAGAAATGTAAACATTAATCATTAGAGTAATGCTGGACTTCACCCTGCACTGTGCCTTTAGACATTTTTTCGACTTTAATTCTGTTCTCACTTTTAGAAATTGCAGAGTAATTCACAAAGAACCAAATACTTATCTCCATTTTCACCTACACAGACAAAGACCTGTAATAATGGGACAAAGTTGAACAAAGACATTCCAGAAATGCTTGGTTTTAACACACCCTTAAACCACAGCCACTAAAATGCTTTTGGCAAGGTGCAAGGTAAAGACAGGCTAACTGCTATTCCACTGAAGTAAACACTGAACCACACTGAAGCCCGCTGAAACTGGCATATCACTTCTTATTCTGGTAACTAGAACCTGTGAAACCTAAAAGTGATGTGATATTCTGGGTTTTCATTTGTAAGCAAACTCATGCACACACAACCACAAACCAAAGGTTCCTATAACAGTTAGTAAAGTTAATGATCACAAAATCAAAATTATGATTCTTGTGGAAGCTACCGTCTCAACCACTCACCGAGTTGATGCAGGCCAGCTCCTTGTTGAGCAGCCAGGGCAGGGAGAGTTTCCCCTCTCCTCTGTAACACGACTGAATCCTCTCTTTAATCTTCTCCTTTATCCGCCTCATCGTGAACAGACACAAAGCCGACTCCTTGGGCGGCTTGGCTCTGTTCTTCTGACCCTGAGCAAATACAGTAAACAGAACCTCCTCTCGCTCTTGAATACCAAGCGAACGTGCCAAACGGGTCCCTGGCCGGGCTAAATAAGCATCCTGAATCAAGCGATATTCCACTCCGTCCTTGGTGCAGCCAATGGGGAACTCAACATAAGAGTAGAACTTGGGATCATCAACGCATAGGCGAACAATTTTAGAGGTGAAGAACTGTTCGCTGCTTGCATCTGGCGAGGTGAGCTGGGTGTCCAGCTGTAAAGTTAGATAATACACAAACTGCTCGCTGTTGAAGCCATAGATGTAGTAGATGTCAAATGCTGGAAACTTGGAGAGTGTGTCTGAGGGAATCTTGAGCTGCGAGGAGACAAACTCATCCTGGTAGACGAAGCTAAACATGTCTGCATTCTCCTCATTAGACATTAACTTGCGGCTAGACAATGTTGGGAAGTACTCGGATTTCCCATCGATGGGAGTGCCTACAAAAAGTTTCCCACCTTCACCAAAAAGATCCGGGGAGATCACAACACCTGACATGGTGCCCGCTTCAGCAACACTGGATAGATAATGCTCTTTACGGTGGTGGGGCTCACCAAGCTTGAACAAATCATCCAGACGCAGGAACTGGCATATTCCCTGGGAAGTACTACCACAAGCAATTAAACGGTTATGGGCTGCATCAAGTAGAAGGAGTTTATTGACATTAGAGGTCTGCACCAGCTCATGGGGGCAGGACTGGACATCAGGTGGAGGGTAACAGCGAGGGTTGTCTGTGACAGGGCCGGTAACATGGCTTCGCAGCTTGGTAAGGTTGCTGGACAGCTTGTAGATCCAGTTGACAGCACCCAGGTAGACCTCGCCAGTTTTGTTGTGGACAACCATATGTGTGAGACCTCCTTCAGGTGGGGAGAAGGAGAGGAGGAAGGAGGAGGAAGAAGGAGCCGAGATGGAGGGCATGGAGAGTGAGAGGAGCAGAAGGAGGGCAGGGAGGATGAGAAGGGGTGGGTTGAGATGGGAGGACATGGTGATGAGGGGAAGGGAGGTGTGAACGTGTGGGTGTTGGTGTGTATTTTTGAGTGTGTAATCCTCAGCAGGGTCAGTCAGTGCTGTACTCGACTGCAGGGCAGGATGATACAAAAGAAGAGTTTCCAAGCAATCGACTTCCTCTTCCTTTTTTCCTCCTTTCTCTGTTGTTTTTATAACCTCATCCCCTGATCCTCAGCCTTGTCTGCCACCAGCCCTAAGAAAGAGAAACAAAGCAAACACCAGTGTCAATGTTATCATGAACTTGTGTTTTCAGAGAGCTGATGAAAAGAATTCATTTGTCTGTATCCAAATGATGAGACACTTAATATTCGCCCACAGACTCAGACTCGGAAGCTTCAATGCTTAAGTCCAAAAAAAACAAATGAGGGTACTATTGGCTTTGTTTTATTGACTTCTTGACTCTTGGCTAGCACCACTCTGTGGAGTGCATCTTTTAAAAGAAGACAGGGCCGAACATTGCTCCTCTGCGTATCGATTGTCTGGTGGTATTAAAGGATACAGCAGATGAAGGGCACGTATACAGTACACTTGGAAATAATACCCTCCTTGAATACACACAAAACACACCCTGCAACAGTGTTTGCAAGTAGAAAAATGTTTCTAAACAATATGTGCATACAACATGAATACAAGTGAGACAGCGCACATATGAAAACAAGCACAAGGTGAGCCACTGGTGTGCAGCAACATGATAGCAGGTCAACATCCATAAATTACAAGCAAGGCTGCAGGGAGAATCCTATAGCATATTTACTACAGAGCAACAGAGCAGAGAAATACAGGCACCCTGTTTCTAAAAAGAAAGGACAGAGAGGGAGAGCACTGGTTTGACTCGATAAAACAGGAGAGACAGTGAGGGGGAGAGAAAAGAGAAAGCTACTTGGCTTCATACCAATTCAATATAGAAGGCAGTACAGATGGAGGAAAAGATTGCTATACTGTACAGTAAGTGAAAACTGAGGAAAAAGGATGAGGAAAAAAGGCAGAGATGGACCATCAATCTATTTCCTATTTTATTGATTCATATCCATCCACTCTTTTTCTAAATCTGCTTATCTGGTTCATGGTCACATGAGGGTGGAACCTATCTGAACAGGCACTGAGGAACAGGTAGAGTCTTAAAGGTTCAAATGCAAAAGGGCCATGAGGGCTCCACATGCCTATTCATCATCACAATTGTTGTTCTCATCATTGTGGAAGGAAGATGATGGATGCTGATTGAAAATGCCACTTGGTTAAAAGACATATTTTAGCTAGTATAAAAACATCTTTGTCCAAAATGTGTAAAATCTGCAGACACAAGTAGAATTAAGTGCCCTTTTACTTAAACACAAAATCCCAAAGAGTTGTTGAAAACTCAAACTGCCCACTGACCAGCTATTCAGTCTATGTAACCAATGACTGTAAACCTCTTCTCCGCCTTACACTAAACTCAGCCAAACCGAACTGTCCAAAGAAACCATCTTCATTAGTTTCATGTAAAAAAGTGGGACAAAAAAAGATCCGGTTAACTTTATGCAATTGCAGTGACACTGATTCCACAGTTCCTGGCACAAGAGAATGCTTGGTTAATGAACCAAACGCTTTATCAGTTTGTGAATTAATGTCCTGGTTATGAAAAATTACACAGCTACATACAGTAAGCCAAAGCCATTAGCTGACCCACCTCTACTTGGTGTCATGTCAAGAAGCAACCAGTTCAGAACTGCTTTATTGTCCATGACTTTGGTGTGTATTAACACAGATGAATGCCAGGGCAGGGTCAGTCTTGCTGCTAGTCTTGTCCCAGTGGTCAACTGAGCTACTGCAGTAAAATTACAATACATTCATTCACAACCTTCCAGGATATGTGAAGTTTCTCAAACAGTCCATGATTGGCACAAAACAGGGGGGTTTCAAAAGGCTACTGTTACTTGAAGCTGCACTGTCCAACCTTCTCTTCAGTATTTCATTAGTTTATGCTAAGCTAAATACAGAGCACAAGGCAAAGGCTTGTTTTATAATTGAGTTTGGTCAGCAAAGAATTCTCATCTCTTATTTCTGATGCTGTTCCTCATTCCACTGTTTCATTACATTCCTCTCCCTCTCCCTTAGATGCTTCACTTCTTGTCAATAGTGTCTTTCATCTCCAGTCCAGCCATGATTACAGTGGCCCAGATGATGATGCCATTGCATATCCCATAAGGACAATACAGCCACTGTTAGCTCCTTGGACACACACAGTGTGGACATACACATACAGTGAGGCAAAGTATTTTACACACTCTCACAGATCTTACTCACTTCACAATGTCTCAATACACTAACTCGTTGGCATAACTGACAGAAAACGGCCCGCACACCCTCATGCACCACCCCTGCACCTGCCCAACACAAGCATACACAGGCACACACACACAAGGCAGGGACAAGAATGAAAGGAACTGAACTATACTAAATGACATGTTAAGAATGCCTACCTTTGCAGCATTTTCATCTCATTTTATCTGTTGCATTTTATAAATGCTATAACTAAGTAAAAACGAAGTAGCACACATAGACTCAGTGGCCATATACCTTCAGTTCCTAGTGGAGCTGAGCGCTGATGATGTCAGCAGCTGTCTGACTAAACTGGGACAAACAGATGAGAAGAAAGAGGAAGATGTCTGTGAACTGAAAAACAAGTTAGTAATTTAAAAATCTTTCTTTAATGTCTGAATTAGATCAAAAGGAGACTCGTACTCTTGTCTATACCAGGGGTGTGTTCACTTAGTGTACAACAACACACAAAGGAGCCTACAGAAGCACTTTGGAAAAGAGAACACTAAAGCCCAAAACTCAGACAAATAAAAGACAGTCAGGGAACCACTGGGCACATTGAATGTGACCTGAAGCTTAAAACAGACCTGAAGCTTAAAAAAAAGATTTCAGGTCACAGCTATGCACATAAAGTGCAGTGAGATGGCAGCTCGCATGCTGGCAGTGTAGACAGCTGGACTGATTAATATAGCGGTTTATCAGTTGCATGACGTGCATGTCTCAAAAACGCCACAGAGTCCGCCTATATACACAACTGTAGATCTAAATAAGGATCAGAATTGGATCAGCTTTATTCTGGTTGATAATGATCCTATTAAATACTCCTGGATCGGCACAGATACCGATACTTAAGGATCAGGACATCTCTAATATCTGCACAAAATAACTGTATATCAAAACTCAGGTTTCTAAATTGTATCTATCTGGTCTGTCTGAGTAACTTTTTGAAATATCATGTAAAGCCATTTCTAATCCAACTAATATGACCAGATGTTCTCACTTATTTTATGATTAGGCAAATTTTCATCAGACTCATTAGCATCTTATCTGCTCAAAGAAAACCTTACAATCTTTGAGTGTGTGTCAGAACCATCCTGAAGTCCACCTGCCATGCTGCATGAAGCAGTTGAGACATTCAGGTCTCCCACGAGCTGATTTATTACTGTTGGCACATCGATTGCATACACAGCCTCAGACCTTGGTCAAACACTTAGGCAAATTTATACACAGCACTTCTTTAGCATGGAGCTTACATCCATGCCTGCTGGCTGGGTGTTTGTCTATGTGCATGTGTGTGAGCATCTTGCATCTATTCACTTTTATTTACTACTCAAACACACAGACACATGCCCAAACACATCAGCCTATAAACTGTATGGACACAAAGCATATTTAATGGCAGCAGACTGTGCAAACCACGGGCAAAGGATAAACATTTACATTTATGCCCTTTCAACAATACATTTTTTGGAGTGGAGTGGAAAGATAAATGCTGGGCACATGAGCTGGATTTGAACTACTCAGTACCTTTGCCTGCATTCATGACCGTGCTGATTAAAGCAACTGAACATTTTTGTGTGGTTTAGATTTTTACATATATTCACACAAATATTTGCTTTGCTAAGGCAAAGCACTGATGACCCCACTGAGGTTTTACAGCTCATGCTAAAGGTTCAGGCTATGTTACACATTCAGGTTATTAGAACATTAACTCTGTTTTTGCAGTTGACCTTTCATAGCATGTACATATACTGTAGCTCGCAAATAATCAAGACCTTTAAACATGAAGAAATCATTAAAAATACATTTTTACTGTTTTTTCTTCATCGTGTATATATTTGAGTTTTTTCCCCCAATGCAAATGTATAGTTCTCATCTAAGAACCATCTGTTTTGTCATTACAAATTGCACAACACAAAGTTAAAAAGGCAGCAAAAACCACATTAAATGTTTGTGGTTATGGGAATAGAAAAATGCTCTCGAATATGCTGTAGTGATTCCTAAACTTCAATTAGCAGCTAGAAAATGGAAGCTTTTTTAGTCAAAATAATTTGCATAACAGTGTGATCCTAGAACCTGGAAAGACTGACCTGCTAGTGGCTGTGACAACATTTGAAAGTCTATTTAAAAGTCTGCTGGAGGTCTGAATAGGCATTTCTCTCCTACTAAAGTCTGATCATGAAAATCGTTAAGTCGCCACACTAAATAATTTGCTTGATGCAGAAAAACAACTCAAAACTCAGGTTGACCTATTCAATTCACTCTTTGACTACCATCTTTTGCAAGAAGTGTGGAGTTAAAGTCAAAGAGCAGGTCAGATGGGAACAATGGAGGAGATATGAGAATGGGGGCAGCAGGCAGACATACACTTAAACATGAGGAGATTTATATTTGTAATCCATTTTCCAACTGTAGTTGGCTCACACCCTCCTCTCCTGGCTCTAACAGACGGAAAGATGGGGAACTGGATGGGGAACGTGATTAAACCGATACAAAGTTTAATATGCATGCTGAAAAAAATAACCATTTGAAAAAGACAATCTAGCATTGTTACCTCTGCCAAGGAGGTTATGTTTTTACTGGTGTTTGTTGGTTGTTCATAGCATATCTCAAAAAGTAACGAATGGATTTGGATTAAATGTTTTGGAGAGGTAGAGTATGTACCACTGAACAATCCATTAGATTGGTGTTGATCTGAATCATCATGGGGATCCAGGATTTTTTTAAGGATTTTTCACCATTGTAAAATAAGGGCAATTTTAATATTTGCTTCTAACTCTATACACACTGTCTAAAATGATTGGACAAAAAAAGCAAGATAACATCTACATAAGATCTACCACAGACCAAAGTCTGATCTGGATCCAATCTGATGATCCAGAAAGTTCAAATTTA